CAACCTTGTTCGTACAAATTTTAAATTTTATGCAAGACTGGATCCTTATTAGTTTCATTTCTTAATTCTAGTATGTTATTAGGCGTGATAGCAAAATCAATTTTAAGGCAATGAACTACTTCTGACATAGCTTGGTCGATTGGAACATCTGTTTGTTTGAAATTTCCCGACAAATAATCCGCAATAATCGTATCTTTGCCTGGAACATATTTCACTTTTATTTGGTAATTTATCAATTTAAGCATTAATCTATGCAAACGTTCAGACATAATCTTACACAGTGGTTTCCGAAAAATATTCTCCAAATTTTTATGGTCATTTTCTACCAGGATGTCATGCCCGTACTCAAATCTATGAAATCTTTTAATCGCAAACACAATTGAAAGCAACTCTTTCTCAATTTGAGCATACCTGGTTTCAGCATCGTCCAAACTACGTGATGCGAATGCAATGGGTTTTTTAGATTGTACTAAACAGGCTCCCAACTCAAATTGAGACGCATCTTATTGTACAGGAATAGGCAGAGAAGGATCAAACGTTGCTAGCTTAGAAATATTACAAAAAGCAACTTTGATGCCTTCCAAACATTCTGATTGTGCAGCTACCCTAACCCATTGAGCATCTTTTTTTAACAACCGCCTAAGGGGAGCAGTCAAATCTGCTAAATTGGGAATGCATTCGCTGAGATGATTATCAACGCCCAAAAGTTTTTGTAAGCCTCTTTTATTTTTAGGCGGTTGCAAATCCAAGATCGCTTGAATGTTCATCGGAGGGCTGTATACCTTCTTCATCTATTACTTGAGTAATGAATCCTAGGTTGTCGAAATTGGTATTTCTTTATATCAGTGGCGTGGCGTGCTTTGCAATATATCGATTGATCCGCCATTTAAAACTATGGAAAAGGATCGATAGACAGGGTGTTCGCAGCGAACACCTTAATAATCGATTCTTTACCATAGGTTTAAATGGCATAACAATCGATACATCGCAATTCACGCCACGCCACTGCTTTATATATTCATTTTATCAGCTTGCCTTAACACGCTTAATAAATTACTATCATGTTCTTCTACAGTCTTATCAAAAGTTACAATGTCATCACAGATGACTTCTACTCTGGGTAACGGACCAAAATGTTTATATTGAGTCTTTGTAGAGTCTCAGGCCAAACCGAAATGCCAAAGGGTAACCTTAAAAAAGTGTATTCTCCCCATGGAGGTATAAATCCACAATATTTTGAAGGATCTTTTGTATGTTTCACCTGATAAAACGCGTCTTTCATATCCAACACCGTAAAACATTTACTCCCTTTTAATTTCTCTTTCATTTCTGCAAGTGTCGGCACATAACATGGGCGCCTGATAATAACTTTATTAAGTTCAAAAGGATCGAGACAAATCCGAATAGACCCATCCCGTTTTTTAACGATGACTAAATCATTATACCAATCCACATTTTCCACATTTGTTGAAACTACCCCTAAATTCTCTAGTTCGTCTAGTTTCTTTTGACTCTAGCAAGCAGCTTTGAAGGTATCTTCCTAGGTCTCGGAATTTGATAAGCTCCCGCTCTCACTCTCAATTTCAGTCAACTCTGGGTAGTGGCCAAGACCTTTCAACAAATTTGGAAATTGCCTCAGAACGGACAATGGATCAGATTCAGAAGTAGCCTGTAGCTTTATCTCATTTGCTCGTCTAATTAGATTTAAATCTAAGCATGTGCTAAGGCCCAAAATAGGTGTCGCATCATTCTCAACCACAAGAAATAATACGGCTTGTTGCCCACATTTTGTGGCGCAATTAACATTCACACAACCAAGTGGCTTAGTACGTCTCAATGACCGTTTTGGTAGGCAATAAAACACTTTTTTGAGCAATTTGCTCAAAAACACTGACTGGCAGCACATTTGCTTGGGCTCCACTGTCAGTTTCAAGTTTAACTGGCACATTATTGCAATATACATATAGTTTCAAACCAATCTCTAGAATTGAGGCCTTCAGCCGAGACAACCGAAATGTTTACAACATACTCATCATCATTGACACATTTACATTCATTAATACAATACAATAACAAAAATCAACCTGTTTCTTCAACTTGGGGCAAACACCGGCAAAATGATTAGTTTCATTACAATTAATGCATTTTTTACCAAACGCTGGGCAGCAACCATACTTGTGAGTTGTGTTACACTTACGACATGGTGTCTTGAAGAACTGTTTGTGGTGACGGTTACCAGATTGATTCGATTGATTGCGGTGTCCACAGCTTTGACATGAGTTGTTCTGCTGCTTCTGCTGAAAGCGTTCCTTTCCTGGATTACTCTGCTCGGCTGGTTTTCTTGTCACAGAAAAGACTTTTGATGATGTCGCCACTGCACTAGGTTTCTTAACATCCTTAGCTCTCGTCCAGCTTCTACTGCACGGCAGATTTGGACCACCCCATCCAAAGACTACTCTTCGCCTAGGAGCCTCTCTCGTAATTTCTGGTCGGTGATGCCGATGACTACACGATCGCGAATAATTGAGCTTTCGCCAAACTCGCACTTTTCTGCTAACTTTTGAACGTTTAGGAAAAAGGATTCAAACGGTTCTAATTCTTGCTGGTTACGCGAATTGAACATAAAGCTTGCATGAATTAAGTTTCGCTTAGGTTTTATGTAATCGTCAAGAGCCTGAATAACTGCTGCTATATCATCAAGACCGGTTGGTTTCAATGTAAGCACTAGATCGTAAACTTCATCACTGAAAAGATTGAGGATGATTGCCTCTTGCACCGCTTTGTTTGGCTCCGCTAAAATGATACCAACCGCATAATGTTCAAGACGAGATTTGAACCGCTTCCAGTTGGTTTCCAAGTGCTGATCTAACGGAAAGCACTGAGGAGGCTTTACTTTCGGGTTTGAAGACATAATTAACGAATACGACGCCGGATCACAGAAATGGACTTAAAATTGGCAGTACTTGTTTTAGGCTTTCAGGCCACCGACACTTGTAGGAATGTTGGTTAGGTGTACGCTCTGCGCCAACATAATACAAATTTAAAAGGATTAAAATAACAACTTTAAAAGTTAACTTCACAGACACAGTCCCGATGTGTTTAAAACACAATTTAAGTAAAATAAATTAAAATAGCGTTTTAGAAGTTAGCGTGGTGCAGCCATTTTGATACCCGGTACCCGTTTGGCCCTGAGCTTCACGCACTAATATTCCGAACTTTCCACTTTTAAGATTCGAATTTATTCTCGTCGCCATGTGATGTGGAGGTGGTGGCAAGAACAACTACACGAATATGATAGAAATATGAGTGTATTGTTGGAAATACAAGAAGACGGAAAACGCACAAGCGGGCGGCCGGCGCACACTGTGGTATTGGACCTGAAAAGCTGGCCAAAACTATTTATCACCAGATATCGCCGAGTTTTAAAAATATTTTACAATCAGTACTTCTTCTTTAGTGATAATATGCACAATTTAACCACCCAACACATCATATGACAATTTGCGGAGAGTTTAAAGAGGGTGCCAGAAGCCCTCCAAAAAGCCTTTAAAAGGACGCAAAGTATCTGACTAAAGCGGTGCATTTAGACGAGTTTCTCCTTCACCCATGGTCTACTTTTCGAAATAAGGACTTTCTATCACCTCATAATTGATGGTTTTTTTTAAAAACAGCGTAAGTCACTTCAAAACTTTTGACGAAACAGCCGATCTCTAACATTGAGGAGTAATTGAACATTTCTCCAAAAAATTAATATGAATCATTCTAGGTATTAGATTTTTGACAGTTTTGAATCAAAATTAGTGCTAGTATGAAAGTGCCGGGACCTCCATATGATGATATGAGGTTAAATTATAAGATGAAAATGAGTTTTATCATAATAAGAACCATCGTAAGGGCAGAAAGCACCTGTGAAAATGATTCATTTTGATGGGTACCTTCCTCACCCATGGTCCACATCTCAAAGTGAGGGCACTTTACTGCGAAATTCGTAACAAAACCACATATCTCACTATTACGAGGCTTCAAATGTGCCTCTCAGCTTAATTTCATGGTGCCAGAGGGCCACTTTTAAAGCCCCACCTCGCGGCCGCATGGACTCAAATTTGTCTGTAAAAGGAAAACATGGCATAAATATGTCTATACTCAAGGATAATGCACGAAGAAATTGTTAGATAACGGTTTAAACACTTTTACAAGACTTTAAAGTGACCCTCCCATCCGCTTTAAAATTATTTTTTTTATCCCTCTTTCGAGGGCGTAGGGGCCAGAGAAACAGGTTGCGTGACCAAATATCACCCAATTCGGTACTAAATGGGTCAGAGCTGTTGGAAAAATACAATTTCAGTCGTTAGTATCGACATTATTTTTCCCATTCATGTTTGTGAAAATCGCTCAAAAGTCCATCTATAAGGTCAAAAATTTCAATTTCCTCAGTTTTCCTCAGTCTGTCACCCCTGAATCCTGAAAATACCCACTTTGGACTATAACATTCCGCCTTAAACCGCTTGAGCGCAGGTGAGCGCAAAAAGAAATCGGACTCTGAATTTCGAAAAAAACGTTTACTTTTACATCACTTTTCAACCTCCTGTGAAAATCACTGAAAAAAGGAAATTTCGAAAATACTGTGGTTAGTTGTGTAGAATATACCCCTAAGAATGTGTTGCATATCGCCTAAGTTCCCTTTTATGGCCGCACAGTTGAAGTAAACTGATCGACGAGTAGCGCGCCAAAACAAATCAAAATAATCGCTGAGAATTAGGTAACTTCGTGGTCTCTTCGCGGGAAATTGTGCCACTCGAAAAATGGTACATACATGTCTACCAGGGTAAAAAACAGTGTAGATTTCGAATATCACATTGGTTTTCCAATAAAAAAAAATTTAAAATTGAGGTTTTGGCCAGGTTTTTCGGTCAAATACCACAGTGTGCGGCGTGGCCCAGGCCCCAACGGATGATAAATGAATCATCACAACCAATCAGGAGGGGGCGGTGGCTGGCGCCATGACAGATGACAAGGGCTGCCAACCACACATCTCCGGTACCGGCTGCAGTGCTCGCAGAAACTGGAGAGAGAGGGATGGAAAGGAACCACTGGCCGCGGCTACGTAGTGTTCTAGAAGCCGACTAGCGCGGTGTGATACGTAGTGCGGGTGGTAGGGCGGGGACTCTGCACAGCAGCTGGTAGGGCGGGGACTCTGCACAGCAGCTGGCGGAGGACGGGCCTCGCGGCGCCGGGAGGGGGAGAGAGGCTACCGCTGGAAGCTGCAGTGAGCGGTCGGTGGGTCTGCGCGGCGCGTCGCGCGGGGGAGGAATTCCTTGCACGAATTTCCAGCGAATTTTCGGCGATATTAAGGCGCGCTCAGAGCTGTAATACAATGATAGTCTTCAGGAAAAATTTGTTGTTCGAACGTCAAACCCATTATAGAGAGCAAAAAAATGGGAATTAACAATTTTTCCCTGACTTTTCGTTTTTTCCCCTGACATTTCCAGATTTTCCCGGCATTCCCTAACTGTGACAACCCTGACAGTTCTGAGTTATGCCCAATTTTGTCGCACATGACTGAAGAGCTCTTTGCGAGCTTTTTAAGGTCCTGAGTTCCACAGTAGTCAAGTGGCAAAGGCAGCTTCCATGAAACGAAGCCAGGTTTGGCAAACTTTCAGTCTATGAAAGCCCAGCAGAAGGTCGAAAATAGTTTAAGTTTGGATTTTGACACACAGGTGCACTTAATATGCCAAATTTCATAAAATTCTGATCGGATTGATTATTTTTAGTGGCAACAGTTGGCATGGAATGACCCCTCTGTGAGAATATTCACACCTAAAGTAAAAAAGGCTTAATTCTCCATATATCATATAATTCTCCTTATATCACTGGATTGTTCCTAAACTCACAGCAATAACTGACTTTTGGGCTCATTGCATTACTGTATTTAAAGATACATTTAACTTAGTTTTATTTATTTTAAGCAAATTTTCACCATGTTTCATGACTGCCTGTAAATTTAAAATATTTCTAAGAACCCTGTTTAGGAGAATAAAGATCTTACCCTCTCTCTCTGTTTCCCTCTGTTTATTACTTGCCCATGACCATGTATTAGTGCAGTGATGTTTATGGGATCTTGTGCGAGTAAAATAGGCTAAGAGATGAAGTTCAAGTTATAGGTACCTTTTGGCTCTGGGATAGGTACTGATATGGTCCTACGTATCACTGTGGAGTTACTTCTAATTGCATTACCCATTATTATGTTGAAGCTGACGTTACACAGTAGGTACCTATTCTATTATAAATTAACAAGCACTGCGTCTTGTTTTCCTTGAAATTTAGGAAATTTGTGTTGCACCAAATCAAATTTTTCAGCTTGGTCTTCACAATCAAAATGTCCACATCAAACAGTCGACGATCACAGTAAAACGGCAACTTTAAGTTTTGATCAACGCAAATTGCGAGCAGCTGATATTTGTTCAAAACTCTGTTTGCGCCTTTTATTGCTGTCCTTCTGGCGGCAAAGTGTGTGTGGTGGCGCTGAATCATACTTTTCCCTTAGGTACATTTATCTGCCGCCTTAGGCTGTGGCTTAAGTCTAAATACGGCCATGAAGCTGACGATGCTTTGCAAGACTAAAATTTTAATGACATGGAATTAACGCACACTCCTACTTGATAATGAAAAACCTTGGAGTTAAGACTTTGTTCCAGACCATATTTTTGAGGAATTGTTTATTTTTAATAAGGATGCCAGCATCCTTTCCTATTTGCAGATTGGACAACATTAATCAATTTAAGAACCATCTATCTTTCAATTTGCCAGGTTACGACAAGCTAGATTGCAAGCTGGACTGAATACTTAGCAATTTTATACTACTAGAAAAATTTTAGTGAGTGAGCTAAAAACTTACTTTGATGATATGCCGTAGTAAAATCGAGGTTGATATCTTCCACAGACATTCTGAAATTTTAAGTGTCTTTCAGTAAAAAAAAGAAAGGAGGTAAGTTATTACTTAAATGTTACATTTTATGAATCCAATCAAAGTATTTCATTTGTTAGAATTTTTAGGGCATTTTTAGTTCTTTTTGGGATGAGTATCACTGAATGGTGATCTTAAGGTCACGTTGGTAGTAGTGTTTCCCGCCTTTTTTTAATCATTTGTAGCTTAGAAATGTTATAACTCTCAGGTTAGAATGTGAAGTTTACTGCAACCAGTTGTCTAGAAACAGAAGGTATAATTTTCTGAGCCTTTTTTTTTTTTTACCATTTTCCTATTCTTCTCGAGAAATCTAATGTCACTAACAAAAGTTTGTTAAAGTTAATGTATCTTCAGAACATATTTTCAAAAATTGATGACACTTTGGGAAAGTTAATTAATTTTGATCTCTGATCTGTTCAACCTACCAAAGAGTTTTCTTATATTTTTTGACACTTCAGTTTGAAAAAATATTATGGTAATGTCTGTAATGACATGCATGGACTTATGTATTCAACGGAGATATATACGGACATATTTATATACTGCTGGTACAATATGTTGTAGACAAATCCCGTAATTTGGACACATCGCGATCTGTCTAGACAAATCGCGATTTGTCCAGTCATTTCGCGATTTGTCTAGCGCCGTTTAGACAAATCCAGAATTTGAAAAATAGATTGGGATTTGTCCAGACACATCGCCGACTCTGTCTTCCGACTCTTTGGACAAATAGGTAAAACCGAAAAAAAAAAATTCCAACCCCTGACAGTCAGCACTAACGTAAAAATTCCGGTTCCTTCTGTTGACCGAGGAAAAGTGGATACTAGTAATGTAATTGGTGTGATCCTAAGTGTCAACGATGGTTTCTATAAAATTGGTACAAAGCGAGGCCAAATTAACTCTTTGTTCTCCCCCAACCAAATATTCGAGTGTAAAGAATCGTTTCTGACACCCGAGGACGTTCCAAAGGGCAAAGACATAAGCATCCGCAGTGTCAGCCTTCGAACATCTCTGACCGGAGGCCGAGGATTCTTTTATTGTCAGTGCAAAACTAAGTGCGAGACAAACCGATGCAAGTGCAAGAAAGCAAACGTGTTGTGCAACTCTAAGTGCCATGGTGCGATGACTTGCTCTAACAAATAACGTGAGACCCTAGTTTTTCTAATTTTTTTAAATAAAATTTTTAAATTTTTAAAATAATTTTTAATACGACAATTACTATTTTTAAAATAATTTTTAAGCAGTTCCAAAAGTGTAAAATAAGAAACACATTGGATCAGCACTTCTTTTAGGTAAGAGATAAGTGTTTAACTCCTTCTTTCATTTTTCTTTCGATCGTATTTTATTTTATCATATTTTCGTATTTCTTTCGATATTACTTTTAATGATTTGTCCAAAGAGTCGGAAGACAGATCGCGAAGTGTCTGGCCACTTCGCGATGTGTCTGGACAAACCCGATCTATTTTTCAAATTCTGGATTTGTCTAAACGGCGCTAGACAGATCGCGATGTGTCCAAATTACAGGATTTGTCTACAATATATATACAAGAACAATTGGCTAATTATTTCTCAAGGTTTTACCTATGGGGCAAATCTGTTCATTAACCCTAATGTATTTATCTGTCATCCGTCAACTCCATCATGTTGCGATAATTCAAGCTGTTGGTGATCTCTGAAAAGCAAAAATAAATCTAAAATTAGTGAACTTTGCCATTTTTTACCAGTATTTTATTAATTATTCAGGGATGGCACCCACAAAAGCCAGAGTGAGGGTTGACAAGCACAGGACCAATCAAAAGGCAAGTGACCTGTTGAAGTGACTAAATAACTTGAAGAAGGGTAAGAAGAGGAAAAGAGCCATGAGAGCAGCGAAATGTTTTATTCTGAAGTTTTGAATTGTTTTTGCTTCCGTTGCTTAATTTCATTTAAAAATATGTTCCTTTGATCATTTGAGATACAAATTTTATACTTTTGATTCGTTTCTTCACAAGTAACTACATGTGAACTTGTTCTATTTTCATTTTTTCCTAATTAAAGCTCTTTTTTGGAAATTTTTGAGCAGTTTTCTCAAAATGTCCCACAACCAATCCTGATGATCCACTTTGGTCTGTTCATCAAGTTAAAATGCAAATTATTTACAAATTGTACATTCATCAGAGCATTCATTAACATAGAGTCTCATTCCTCGTCACTAACTCGCTTGGATAGAGCCTTATGAGGCTCTATCTGAGCGAGTTTTTCCGGAAAATTGAACCAATTACAAAATAATTTTGTACTCAGTAATGTCCATATCATTAAAACATCCTTGATTTCTTTAAAAATTCAAATAAAATTTAATTGACGTAAAGTTTGGTTGAAAAACTTAAAGGCATGCTTCATCACTTGTAGGTAAATAGAATTTAAAAATTCTCACTGGTTTTTCTGAAATGTGCAAACGAAATCGTGCCTCCTGAAAAATGAAATAGTAAGGGTTAGAGTACCGTCATAGGGAGAGTATGGACTCGTTGATTCATGTAGGTCTTAGGGCCCAAAAAGGCGACAACTCATACAACGAAAATCACTAGAAAAGTGCCGCTGCCAACCTATGCATCTGAAAGATTAATCATTGTGGCCGACAGCGCACTGTAAACAAGCGTTTCTAAGGATTAAGACATTGGTACTGAGTAAATTTATGTGAAATCAAAGTTTTGTACGTGCTTTTATAATTTTTGATTGGTGAACCTACTCTCACAGTTTACTATTGTGCGTTTCTTCCACAATAATCATCGACTCAAGGGTTGGAATTGTGTGTTGTTTCTCTCTTTTAAATGGACTTTACCTCACAATAACAACACTCCAAGGGATAATAATGCAGCAAGGAAAAATTTCTGGAAGACCTCTTTCAATTACGACCAACATGAATGCAAACCGACGTATATATCTATGAGGTAAGTTAATTCACATCTCACTCACCCCGCAACACAAATGGCTGAAGGGGAGCGATGCGTTTTTATCTCAAATTGCTATGCTAAATTTGTTCACACAAAGCAGGGTGGCAGCCAATCGAAGGTGAAACTTCATTTGACTTTTAACCGATTTGGAACTCCATCAGCCTTCACTTTTAAAGCCTGAACTAATCAGATAATGTTAAAAATAATGATACAGACAAACGCATTTCCCTTTGAAGTTGTGTTTTCTTAATTCTGGACGATTTCTGGGATCTAAAAACGTATTTGGTCCCAATGTTTTTGGATTTTTTTTTTTTTTTTTTTACATAGATCTATATACTTATTCAAATTTCTGCTATTTGTGACGGTCATGAGTTTCGAAACAGGAATGCAGCACGTGCCGCCATCTATGGAAACGAATAAATGAGCACCAGATTTATATCTTTGTTCATACCCTTTAACACAAGGCATGCATCATTTCAATAAAAAAACATTTCAAAATAAAAAAAAAAAAAAAAAAAAAAAAAAAAAAAAAAAAAAAAAAAAAA